TTGCAGCTTATACAATTTTTCTCACGTAGTTTGGTATACCAATTTTGCATATTTTAACCTAGACTTGAACTATTTATCCTAGAGAATTGTAAGAATAAAGACGGATAACTGAGTCTAATCCTGGATCTACAGGTGGAGCTTTCTGGCCAGTGTTCCTCATTGCTAATGTAGCTGCATTGATAGCAAGTAGGGCGATGACAACAGCAACATTCTCTTGTATTAAACAATCAACATCACTTGGTTGCTTTCCTCGCCTTAAGATAATTCATACCTCGCGGAAATTCATGGGTCAAATTTATATTCCAGTTGTGAACTGGTTTCTGCTGGCTCTAACTCTGGTGTTAGTCTGCAATATTTCAAGTATTTACGAGATTGGAAATGCATATGGTAATTCTTTATCACTTATCTTTGAAGTTCGATTTTTGCCAATATGTTTTTATCAATTATTTTTAGATTATCAAGCCCACTTGAGTTGAGCTTGATAAACTGAATAGAAACTAAAATTTGTTGAAGCTTAGTTTGCTAAGCTAGCAAACCAATCCAAAGAGAATTTTTATTAATCAATTTTTGAGCTGATCTTTGAGAAGCTTGATTTATCTTTCAGCTATATCTAAATGAGAATTGTCTAGATTCATATGGCTTAGTGCCCAGACAAGGTACCAGTTTTGAAGATCAGCATTGTTTATGTTATAAAAATTTCGAATGCATGACTTCAAGATCTTACATTCCAGTGGGAAGGTGAAATTAGAATTGGTGCTTCTCATTCCTACTTTTTTAGTTGACTATCATAGGTCTAACTAGAACTCCATCTCATAATGAGCTGTGCGGAGTTCTAAATATGGATTACATGTTTAAAATCGGCTTTCTTTCCATATGGTAATGGTGATGTATCCTGATGTTTCCTAGGTGTTGTGACGTTTGACTTCTTTGTAATAAATCTTTTTCTGGATGGATATTGAACAAGCTCTGGTATATTCTGATTTTACTTTTTTTGACAGGCATTGCTGAACTAGGGGTGATGATGATGAGTACGGTCCTTGTAACTCTTGTAATGCTTCTTATATGGCAGATACATATCCTTATTGTGCTGAGTTTTGCTATAATCTTCTTGGGGCTGGAGTTGACATTCTTTTCGTCAGTTTTGTGGAGTGTAGGGGATGGTAGTTGGATCATACTGGTGTTCGCCGTAGTTACTTTTTTAATAATGTATATCTGGAACTATGGGAGCAAGCTAAAATATGAAACTGAGGTTAAGCAAAAGATGTCAATGGATTTGTTGCGAGAACTGGGTCCTAACCTAGGAACAGTAAGAGCTCCTGGCATTGGCTTGCTTTATAACGAACTTGCGAAGGGAGTACCAGAAATCTTTGGACATTTCCTTACCACTCTACCTGCTGTGCATTCAATGATCATATTTGTGTGTATAAAATATGTTCCTGTTCCTGTTGTGCCTCAAAATGAAAGGTTTCTGTTCCGACGTGTCTGCCCCAAAAGCTACCACATATTTCGTTGTGTTGCCAGGTAAGATCTCCTCTCAGTGTTTCCACATTTTATATGAAGTTTGGCATTTTAAATTTCATCCTAAAACTTGCATGTCCCTGGTTCATCCTTGATGGAATTTTGCTGTGGATAAAGACTTTGCATTAAAACTAAAATGCTCATTATGCTGGTGGACGCATTAGGGATTTGAAGCTCCTTTGTTTATGGAGAAGATATCGGAAATAAATGAATTTTTTATTTTTATTTTGTTGAACGGGTATTTAAATGCAATATCATGGAAGTTTAAGATACTAATCTCCTTAGCTTAATCCCAGAATAAGAAGATTATGCTTGTGGATATGGGATGGGTTTACTGTGAACTCATGAACTGCGCTTCAAAACTGAAAAATCATCGCATGAAGGATGCGCATTAATAGACAATTTTTCAGTGCTTATATAGTGTAAAAACTTGCATTGGATATTGCACAGTTTTAGATCCAGATCATTTGGTTAAATTCTTTCAATTAATATTGCCGGTTGAGTTTTTCAATAATGCATCTCGTTGGCTTGGAAGTTCTATTTATAAAAATACAATGGTTACATTGCCAAAATATCCTGCCTCATCCTGACCTTGTCCATTAAGTCCCATTCAGTGGTAGGAAATCTCATGTGGCAATAAGCTTAAACATTTCTTTTTTATTTCTGTAGAAAAGCCCCCCACAAACATAGTATTGGGCAGGCCCTTTTCAGGAAGACTACTTAATCTTCTGTCCAACTGTTGACACTAACAGATATGGTTACAAGGACGTCCGCAAAGAAAACCACCAGACATTTGAGCAGTTGCTGATTGAGAGTCTTGAGAAGTTCATTCATAGGGAAGCTCAGGAAAGGTCCCTGGAGAGTGATGGTGACAAGGACTCAGATTCTGAAGAACATTCTTTGTCAAAGGTTCTAATAGCTCCTAATGGGGGTGTTTATTCACTTGGCGTTCCTCTCCTGGCTGATTTTAAGGACACGACCAAGTCCTTTTCAGAAGCAAGCACTTCGGATGAGCAATCAGAAACTCCTACTGATCCATCTATATTTGATGCACAGAAAAATCTCGAGAAGGAGTTGTTTTTCATACGCAAGGCCAAGGAATGTGGGGTAGTATATCTTCTTGGTCATGGGAATATTAGGGCAAGAAAAGATTCTTGGTTTATTAAGAAGCTTGTCATTAATTACTTTTATGCCTTCTTAAGAAAGAACTGTAGGAGGGAGGTTGCCAATTTGAGCATTTCACACTCACAGTTGATGCAGGTGAGCATGACTTACATGGTCTAAAGTCGTGATTTTATCGTAGAAGGCTGACTTTGTTTTAGCACCAATTCTGGAAAGCACTTTTGGCTTCAGAAGAATCGAGGGAACTAAATGGTACAATTCATACAGGTTATACTTGTGGAGAATGTCCAAAAGGTTGCAGGTATCAGATTTTTATCTTCCTTGGGCTTTAAATTAGATGACTTTTTATACATGGAAAATTTTGTAGTTCTTTGTCAGTGGTACTACCTGGATTATCATGATTTGGGGTGTTGGAAGTCTTTCTAATTACCACGCTCATATAAATGTGGTCTTTGATAGTGTAATTCTTATTCTAAGTAGTTTGTCCATGTTCATTTTTGCTTGGAAGCTGACCTTTCATTCTCAATGTTTACGCTGTTTGGTAGGAAAATCTAGTTCAAAATTGCTATGCTGAAACTCGTGAAGAGGAAAATGTTGATTTCACTATCTCATTCTTGCAAAGTTTTCTCCCTGATTAACATTTTTCCATCAGTTGCATCCACAAAATTCGCTTGAATTGCAAAAAGCAAAACAAGTTAAGATAAAATTGCTTCAATTTTTGTGTGAGAAGAAAATTCCATCTTTCCAGTAAAGTAGCATATTTTCCTTTTCATCCTCCCTTCCCTTTAAAAAAGGCCTGAACCAAGTAAGCTGAAGAAAACAATTTGTTCATCGGTAAGGCTTACTTGGAAGAAAAAGCTGAAGGGAAAAGCAAGTGCTATTACGTCTAAGAAAAAGGATGTATAGTGCTAATTTAATGGAGGTTCACATTCAAAGAATAAAAATGAAAAATAATTGAACACAGAGATAGCTAATACAGTCCAAGTGGTAAACTCAAAAATGAATAATGTGACATAAAATAGATGAAAGAAAGTTCAATGAATTTTGCTAAATGTACAATCAGGGTTGACAATCTGGTAATCAATCCTGAGATATTATTATCTGAAACAAAGCCTCAGTGAAGAAGACTTTAGACTAACAAAGTAGTGTATCATTTTCCCACCAAACTCAACTGAAGCATTTATATATGAAATGCTCAACTGTCTCTCTACCCCGGACGTGGAAGGTCTTAGACTACAATTAATACGAAAGGGTTCCACCCTGCCAACATACTGTGGAAGCAGTGAAAGTAAATTAACAGTGCCTCTGAAATCTAGTGACTAGGAACTAAACACCAAATTGAGGAACAAGCCACAAAAAATCCAAATATTAAGAGCTAATTTGGTAAAGATTAAAATCTGATTTTAATTTAAGTCAAACTCAAACAATCAATATTAACCAGATTTTTTATGGGGCCCCATAACTTTTTAACCACACATTTCAAAATCTTCTATCATAATATACTAAAAAAAATCTAATTTTAATCTCCATTAAACACTTCTAAGGCAACGTTTGGTTTGCTGTTCAAGCTGTTTTCAATTTTCAATTTTGCAAAACACCCAAACTTGTTATGTCTGATATATCATTAAAAATGTATTTTCGAAAATATAGTTGAACTTCTAACATAAAGCTAAAAATGTATTTTTAACGTTTTTGGTGAAAATATTGAAACATTGACAAGTAGGGAAATGAGCATTTGAATTAAAAATCAATGACTATTTTATTCCATTAAGTACAGTTAGCCCACGTTTCGTCTAATTATTTCCCATTAAATTATAATTCAATTTTTCTTCTTCTTATCAATTACATATCCTCCCATAAAATAATATTACATATAAATGCAAAAAAAATTCCTTCTTTCTTAATCACATATTCTCCAAAATATTACTATTCTTCTCATTATAATATATAATAATGAGGACCAAACAGGCGCTAAAGAGCCATAAGTATGTAATAGATAGTGCTAGGTAAGAATTCGGTTATTTTTCTTTCGTTTTAACCCTTATTATATTGTGTATTTTATCATACACGCCTCAAGTAAAATTGGATTCCTTGATTTAATGTGCAAAAATTATTAAGGAAAAAAAAAGACTCTAAAGGCTTGTTCGATAGTAATTTTGAGAATTGATTTTTTGACCGTTAGGAGAAAAGTGGGGGTCACCTGTGAAAGAATAAGTCAAAAATTACGGTTGAAATAGTGAAATAACAGTAAAAAAAAATCAATTTTTTGGGGTAAAAAATCACTCCCAAACGGGGCATAAGGAAGTTCAAGTAGAAATCCAACAGTATCTACATAACATCAGCTCCCACACACAAAAATATAACTTCACGATCCTCGTCTAGATATAAACTTTCATTCACAAACACCATTTCACAGGTGTTTCTCCACAAAGTAGTAAAAGATAGATTACATATTTGATTGGATATTAAGGCACCGAAGAACAAACTTACAAAAATATAATGGATAACGATACACAACATAATTCAACTTATACTAAGAATAGCTATAGACGGGGAATGGACCAAACTAGCGGTAGATCAGGCACAAGTGGGTGGCATGTTTCTGTAGTATTGAATCATTATAAACCATAAATTTTTGGCATCGGCTCTATTTTTTTATTTCAACGATGATTTTCAGAATGTATAACAAAACCAGGACCAATTAAAACGCGATTATGAACTAGCACACGACCCACAATTAGTGGTAACCAACCGGAGCTGGTGCTTCCCTTAATTCCTTTCCCTGCAAATGAATATCCTGCAAAGCAAGGCAGTATTGAATCGATCGTACATCAACCATGAAGGCAAGAGAATATAAAAGAAAATCCGTAAGTCATAAAGACGATATCTAAACACAACAATGCAACCATAACGTGTCTCAACTCTTCACTCTTTAATACAATAAGGCAAATTTTCTTATTCTCTAAACAGAATGACTATTTATTAATTGAAATCAAACAAATTCCTATTTTCGACAACAAAAAACTTTGAGCGAACCAAGGTATAGGCTTTTGCATTTATGCCATTCTTTGAGCATTCACATTCAAGGTCTTTTAAATCAGCAAAACATTATAGCATCTGGCACATCATCTTGCAAAATATAAGCAGGCAAAAGGGTGGATAATAGGGGACAAAAAAATGACAAAATACTATTTTAGAAAACGAGAAGTGCAAAAAACTGATAGAAAGCCTATATCCAAAGGAGTAATTGGGATGGCAAGTGTAAAACAGAAAACATAAGATGGAAAGTGACTCACAGAAGCAAAATGATTGACATCTCGATGGTGGGCTTCATCGGCTCGGATAACAGTAATAACATCCTTCAGAGTTGCATCTTTAGGCAATCTCCAGTAGTCAATTGCGATAGCTGGAGCAGGGACATTCTCGATTTTACCACTATCAATATCCTTCAAGTATTCAGTATATGAATGTATTGCCTCCTCTTCTAAATACCCAACAACTCTATGAGCCAGTTTGGGAGACAGCAAGTAGAGCACAAAGAAAGCGTTGAAGAAAACTCCTTGAACTGTGAGCACCAGCAGTCTCTCATACCATTTTGGCCGGACAAGCTCTACCATGGTCATCAAGTGCATCCTCTCATTCTCAGCTTCTTCAAGTAATGCTTTAATCCATCCACCACTCTGCTCGAACTTGCGAAGAGACCTGAGATGCAATAGCATCCCCCCAACCATACCGGGAACAGCAGCAACAGTTTCGAGCATCATTGCTCGACACCCATATCGCCTCTGCAAATAATCACGGTATTGCCATCATTCAACTAAACATTTGAGGGGGTGCAAGGATGAAGGATCTAATGGCTAGATTTTTCTAATCTTCAAATAAGTACTCAAAACATTTTCTACTACAGTAAGATCCCACCAAACACAAATAATGAATGGCACAGCCATTTTCCCATTGTCAAACTGAGCGGAAAATTATCTTTATGGTGAGTACAAGAATCGAATTAGAAGTTCGTTTTGATATTGTGATGGAAAAAGTAATTTGAAGATCTTATATCAAAGTGTCTTCATCGTGCATTTCTAGTGTCTGAATCAAAAATTTCTAAGAGCCTGTGTCAAAACATTATCATCACAGATGGATTTAGGGGGTGTCAACGAGCTGAGCCGGGCAGGCTCGCAAGCCGAAAATCAAGGCAAAAGCTTGGCCCAAGCATCAAGGCTCGACCCGAGCTTTCGGCTCAATTCTCTCTGTTTTTTTTTTTTCTTCCTTCTTGAAGAAGGCAGCACTTCAATTTTTTATTTTTTATTTTTTTTTTTCAAGTCAGCTCAGGCTCTCCCCGAGCCTAGGCTTGGTTCGGGCCCAGCCACTGGAGGCCCGAGCCCCTAGCCAATTTGCCATCCCTAGATGGATTCGAGTGGAAAAGTCAAAATATGTATTGATCCAAAAGCATTAACAATACTAGCTCCACTAGTATGGCATTGATCCATCGACTTAAACTTCCCTTTCTTCCCTCCAGATGATTACAAGTTCTGACCTGCATTTAGGAGTGTGCCATTTTTTTGCAAATTTTCGTATCACTTCTTGTGGAGATAAGATACTATATTTTCAACAAGTTCACGTGACTTTGAACTCCTCATTTTCAGACTTCCAGAACTATATCATAATCCTTGCTCGAAAAGAAGATACAAAAT